TGGAGCCCAAATAAATGAAGTCTGTTACTCCTTCCATTTCTACCCCTTCTATTTGCCAGGAGAGGCCATCATAGCTTCTACCAGACACCTGTGCTTCTATATATAAGGCTTCTGAAGTACTGTTCTCCCAGTGGCCAGGTTTTTAATTAAAAGAAGGTTTTTCCCCCCTAGTTTTTGTGTTTCCCCTTCATTATCGTTTTTAAAAGGATAGTTTGTTATAACTGGATTTCGATACTGGCCTGCAAATGATTCTCTAAACATAGCAATATACACTATTTCCATTCTTAATGAGTAACATTGTATGAGATTAATTAAAGTAGGAGTAGGTACCAGACCCTAATCATATATGTCTGTCCCCCTCAGTATCAAAGCTTCTGTGATCAGAGGCTTTTATTCACATTAAGTGAGTGTGAATCAAGATGGCTTTCAGTACAGTCATATACAGAATGAAGAAAAAAACAAAAATTATATGATTCATGTGTGTGAAGTAGCATTTCTCTGTATTTATTGTCATAAATTTTTGGTTATATTGTAATTCTATTACAAAAATAAGGCTTAACAAAGAAACTCTCTTATAGGAATAGGTGATACTCATATATAACTGACAGGCCCTGAATTTCAATTTTCAGAATCAATTAACTATGGGCAGTACCATTGAATTAATAGTTGTGTTGTATTTGATGTGAAAGAATTGTTTTGCCTACATAAGAACCAACATAGCAAAAGTTAATCCTTCTTCTGGATCCTAATCTTAAGATAAATAGGAAAGAAATATTGTGTGCTGCAAATACAAACCTTTTCTGTGTTTGCTTTGCTTTGCTTTGCTTTTGGTCTTGTCTGTGGAGAACTTTGACTACAGATTCTGCAAAAGAAAAACTGTTTCTGAGCTATTTTTTTATGTTAAGCATCAGAGGTTTACTAATAACATAGTCTTTCGAAAACCATACTCAGATAATGCTCATCAGCACTTTCTCTTCAGTTTGGAGAGAATTATTCTTCAATATTTTAGTTAATAATTTGGATGAAAGAGGAAAGGAATGCTGATCAGATTTGCAGCTGATAGAAATTGGGTACAATAATTAATACACTAGAAGATGGAAATAAAATTCAAAATGATATTGTGAGATTA